TTCCTCAGTCTACCCTTAGGCACCGCCCCCATTGGAATCTCTGGGGCGAGGTGGGGTTGGGAATCTGCATCTCTAAGGCGCTTCCCTTCTGATTATCTTGCCCTCAGATTAAGATAACCTAAATTCCCACTCGATCTCCTCTCCACCCCCCTCCCACTGCACCGCCGCAGTTAACTGATAACCTCCTAGTTCCCAGTGAACTTTTTTCTCCCTCTCCCCTGCGTTCCTTCGGCCCAGAAAGGGAGCTGGGGGATCTCGGGGGTCTCTGCGAATAAGCCTCAGACTTCCAGCAGTGCCAGGTCGGTCTGCTGGGCTTTGATGACCACCCGCCCAAGGAGGGTAGTGGAGGGGAGAAGTGTAACGAAGCTACTTTGGAAATAATAGTACCTAAAACTAAAATTGGGCTGGATGGAACTACCTTTTAACCGAAAGACCGTAACTACCTTTGTGCCCGAAGACTATAATGGACACAGATTGCAACGGGAGGGTCTCCTGGTGGGGGGGGGGGGCGGAACCGCAGGGCCCCTGCTGATCCTCCATAAAGGAGGAACTGGAGAGTGTTATTGGGGGTGTTGAATCTTGGGGGAAAGCAACTATAAAAGACAGTAACCTGAATGACCCCTGGCTGTTTCGTGAGGGCCCTGGGCTCCTTTTGTTCTTGCATAGCTGCTGTGAAGATGCCTCCTTTGGAGACGCCCTCTGTTTAGAAGGCTTAGGGTGTTCTGCATTGTGAGGTACTCGGGGTGCCCCCTGTGGGAGCAGGGCACAATCAGAATTAAGTGCCAGCCACTCTGTAGAGAAAAAGCAACCTTCCAACTGATGTGGTTTTTCCTCCTGCATTTTGGGTCTGTCCAGCTGAACAAAGGCCCACCTTCTTTTTGAGGTTCATTTAGGCTTCCCCCATCCCACAGTTAGCAGGGGTGGGCCACTATTAATTTGCAAATGGCTTTGCAACTCAAATAGGTTTTGGAAGAAATAAAATGGAGCCTGTCAATTGGTAGACTTCAGTCATGACCAGTTTAAAAAAAAAAAAAATACCTGAGGGTAACCTTATAAAAGGAACAGTGGTTTTTCATAGTTAAAATGCCCACTGTACTAAATTGGGTTCTATCATGTGGCTCACCCCCACTTTCAGACTAGAAGGGTCTCTGTCCCAGCTGTACCATTTTCAGGAGAGAGTGGGCTTCCAGACTGGCTTGGTTTCCTGGATGTTTAAAAGTAAGGAAGTCTCCTTGGGAGGCCCTTCATGCCACTCCACATTCTACCTGGTGACCCTTTCTAGTATTAGATCTGTTTTAAGACTTGGGGGTGGGGGGGCGCACGGGCAGAGGAAGAGGAAGAAGCAGATTCCTCCCTGAGCAGGGAGATCATGACCTGAGCTGAAGGCAGATGCTTAACCAACTGAGCCACCCAGGTGCCCCTAGATAGCCTTTTTTCTTTTTTGGCTTTAACACAGCAATTTCTTCTGCCTGTTTCCAAGTTTTCATGGCACAATGCATTTCCCTCCCTTGCAGAATCTGGTGGTCACATGTACCCATCAATGAACAAAATCAATGTTTATATAGTGTTATGTACCAGGTCCTCTTACGTATACTAAAGGATTTAATCTTCACCTAAACCTAGGAGAGAAGATGATCCCCATTTTAGATGTAGAAATTGAGGAACAGGGAAGTTGAGTAACTTCTCCGGGGTCACACAGCTAATAAATGATAGAACTAAAATTTGAAACTTAGCCCTGGCTTTCCAGTCAGCTCCCCAAACCACTGTGCCTTACAACCTCTCACTTAGATTTCACTTTTCAATCTTTCTTGGTTTCTCTGGGATTAAAAATCCTTAAGAGTTTGATGGTTTTCTTTAATACGAATTGCTAAGTAGTGCAGGGTTTTGGGTTTTCCTCTGAGGAGCATAATGATGGGCTTCATTCAGATCTGGCCAGTGGGGGTTCTGATCAGCTGAACACTTCTAGCCCTGCAACCTTCAGCGTCTCTGAACCAGTTTCTGTTCTCACAGAGAAGGTTTCAAAAGTGCGGTTGCCAGATCATCATCTGGAACTTGTTAGAAATGAAAAATGACCAGCTCTACCCCAGATCCACTGAATCAATTTCTAAAGGTGGAGCCCAAGCCACCTGAGCCTTAACAAGCCCTCCAGGTAATGCTAATGCACCTGTTTGAGAAGCAGTGTCTTAGTGGTGGGCTACTCCTATTTTTAATGTGCACAGGAATCACCTGGGGATCTTGTTAAAGTGCAGATTGATTCTGTCGGCTGGGACCTGAGGTTCTGCATTTCTAACAAGCTTCCATGTTATGCTGATGTTAGAGCTCTGGGGATCACCCTTCAAGTAGCAAGGGCTTGGAGTATATGATGGAATCGCTGGGCAGGGCTTCAAAGTGCAAGTTCCTGGGATTTACCCATAACCACCCTCACCCCAGGTTATCTGGGGTGAGCCCTGGGAAGCTACATTTAAAACCCACAATTCGGGGCGCCTGGGTGGCTCAGTCGTTAAGCGTCTGCCTTCGGCTCAGGTCGTGATCTCAGGGTCCTGGGATCGAGCCCCGCATCGGGCTCCCTGCTCAGCGGGGAGCCTGCTTCTCCCTCTCCCACTCCCCCTGTTTATGTTCCCTCTCTCGCTGTGTCTCTCTCTGTCAAATAAATAAAATCTTTAAAAAAATAAAAAATAAAAAAATAAAACCCACAATTCATGTGACTCAGATACAGGTGTGGGGGCTCTCCTGTACGTTGTAGGATGTTTAGCAACATCCCTGGCCTCTACCCACCACAGTCACCTGTGTGTGCACATATGACCATCAAAAATATCCCCAAAGGGGCGCCTGGGTGGCTCAGTCGTTAAGCGTCTGCCTTTGGCTCAGGTCGTGATCCCGGGGTCCTGGGATCGAGCCCCGCATCGGGCTCCCTGCTCCGCGGGAAGCCTGCTTCTCCCTCTCCCCCTGCTTGTGTTCCCTCTCTCGCTGTGTCTCTCTCTGTCAAATAAATAAAAATCTTAAAAAAAAAAAAAAAAAAAAAAGTGCCTGGGTGGCTCAGTCAGTTGAGCGTCCGTCCGACTCTTGATTTCGGCTCAGGTCATGATCGCAGGATTGTGAGATCGAGGATCACATGGGGCTCCGTGCTCAGCCATGAGTCTGCTTAAGATTCTCTCCCTCTGCCCTCCTCACTGCTCGCCCTCTCGTCCCCTCTCTCTCTCTCTCAAAAAAAAAAAAAAAAAAAAAAGTACCTTAAAAAGAATGAGGCTTTAAAAACTATCCAGAGGGGCGCCTGGGTGGCTCAGTCATTAAACGTCTGCCTTCAGCTTGGATCATGATCCCAGGGTGCTGGGATCGAGTCCCGCATCGGGCTCCCTGCTCTGCGGGGAGCCTGCTTCTCCCTCTCCCACTCCCCCTGCTTGTGTTCCCTCTCTCGCTGTGTCTCTCTCTGTCAAATAAATAAAATAATCCCCAAGCATTCCCAGATAACCCCTGGGGGCAAAATTACCCTTAGTGGAGAGTCACAAGATTCGGTCACTTGTTCAGACCCTGTTAAGGGGCTTTGAGCACCACCACTATTCAGATGGGACCTCTGCGATCCTTTATTCCTGAATTGTGTCTACAAGCACAGGCTGGGTGATGTACTGAGAATTTACATTGTTCTCTTAACCCTGCAGCTCTGCGGCAGGTCCATGATCCTTTTTCAAAGGAGTAAACGGAGGCTCAGAAAGGTTAAGTGTCAGTTAGCAAGTAGCTAAGCAAGCCCTGTGCCTAAGAGCTAAAGCCCACACCAATGTGTTCATTCGCTTCTCATGGTAAGAGGTTTACCCTGACAAACCTCTCACTGAAAACAGAATCCACTTTCTCTACCTGGAGCGAAAACAGTCCCAGCCTTTGGCCCATAATTTATCAGTATCTTTTTAAGACTTCAGGCATTGACAGCACCTCTTTATTCCTCGGATTTAAATCTGTTTGGAGAGAACTCACTTTATAATCTTTTGGGAACGCTTGGGTTTTGTTACAGAAATGTTTAAACCTCCACATTAGATTGGACCACATGAAACTATCTGACGATTTTGGCCCACAAAAACATCAGTTTCACATGGTTCTACCCTAATAGAACATGATGCCACGAACTCCCATGTACCTGGAGCTGGGCTTCGACAATTAATGACACAGGGCCAGGCTTGTTTCTTCTGTCCAGCTATTCCCCTGCCCTGAAGTATTTCGGAGCATCTGATATCTATACAACTTGTAAATATCCATCCCTAAATTATGAGAATGCGCTTTAAAAACTCTTAATTTCATCTTCACACACCCCCCCCCAAAAAAAACACTTTAGCGTTCATGCTTGTCATGGTCTTAAATGGCTTATGATATGTTTAAATCGGGATCCAAGTAACCTCCTGATACCGCAAGTCCTATCTTTGAGTCTGGTTTTTTCCCCCTTCATCTTTAAGTGATTTGCTGAAACAGTGGCATTTTGTCCAGGAGACCATCGGTGCTTGAAATATGGTCTGTGTCCTACTGAATGGAGACAAAACAAATTCAGAAATCGAGTAAGCTTTGAAAAATAGCTTGACATTGCTGGACCAGCCTTCTTTCATCTCTAATGTTCGGTCTTTTTTTTTTTTTTTTCGTATTTCATTTGTAATTTGCATTATATTTTATAAAAATAGCAGCCTGTGATGGATTGGAAAATCTTTTACAAACTAAGTTTTCAGTAGGTCATTTGAGAAGCCCCCGTTACAAAGTTTTGCAGCCTGGGTCTTGCCAGTTGAGTCTGTCCTGTTTCCACGTCCCTTGTCCCCTGTATTTTCTGGAAGTTAGTAGTTCAAGAAAGGACTTCTGTAAGGCCAAAGTGTACGTGGCTTTCCATTTTTAATGTTTTTGTTTTGTTTCTTGTTTTTTTTGTTTTGGGAGAGGTGATGAAGGGAGGTAAAACAATCCTGCTTATATTGTAAGACTTACCATGTTGGTGGTTTTCGAGAAATTAACACTACTTTTTGTCTCCATTTCAGCTTCAGAATTAGAAGATAATGTTCCCAAACCAACGTGTCCCTCCACGGACAGCAGTGATGCCCAGAAAGCCCCTGCCTTGGCACTTCCCTCAGCGTCCAAGGAACAAACGGTGACGCTTGGAGAAAGGACCTTCAACTGTTGCTATCCAGGTGAAACATGAACTTGAACGCGCGGAGCCCCGTCTCTTTACCGGGCGCTGGCGGGCAAGCTCTGCCTGTTTCACCTGCTGAGTCCTGGCCCCGCTCCGCGCAGGCACATTCCGTGTGTTCTAAGCATCCTGGGGCGTCCGAGCTCGGCCGGGCTTCCCAGAACTTCAGGTTTATAGGAGCTTCCTTTTTGAGGCGCTATTTTAAGAAAAGCTGGATTTTTTTTTCTTCTAGGTTGCCACTTCAAAACTGTTCATGGCATGAAAGATTTGGACCGCCATCTGAGAATCCACACGGGTAGGTGTCCGTTTGTTTGTGCGAAACTTTAATGTTGAAAAGAAGGAAATGGATAAGAATTTAAGTGCTGACACGTAGTGGTGGGCAGGACAGAAACAGTCTCTGCCTCATGAAATGGTCTGGTGGGGTGGGCTGGGACCTAAAAAGTCATGGGGCGGGGGGCTGTCCTGGAAGAACCGGTCGTAGATGGGATCAAGGCTATTTCTGAAAGGCTTTCTGAAGAAGATTCTTGCCTTAAACTATAAAAGGTGGCTAAGTAACTAGACAAGACCAGGAACATTCCAGCAGAGGGAACAGCAGGTGCAAAGGCTTGGAAGAGGTGAGCTAGTTGGAGAGGTTGGTGAGGACGGGCTACAAAGAGGCCTTGTGGCCCTAGTAAACCTCAGATAAGGTTGTGGCCGTCTGGGTGGCTCCGTCGGTTAAGCGTCTGCCTTGACTCAGGTCATGATCCCAGAGTCCTGGGATCAAGCTCCGGGTTGGGCTCCCTGCCCAATGGGGAGTCTGCTTCTCCCTCTCCCTTAGCCCCCTACCCCCATTCTCGCTCTCTCGCTCTCTCGCTCTCTCGCTCTCTCGCTCCTCCACCTCACGCACACATGCTCTTCCCCTCTAAAATAAAATCTGTAAAAAAAAAAAAAATAATAAGGGGGGCACCTGGGTAGCTCAGTCGGTTAAGCATCTGCCTTTGGCTCAGGTCATGATCCCAGGGTCCTGGGATCGAGCCCCACGTCAGGCTCTCTGCTCAGCGGGAGCCTGCTTCCCCCTCTTCCTGCAGCTCCCCCTGCTTATGCTCTCTGTCAAATAAAATCTTTAAAAAAATAATAAAATAAAAATTAAGATATTGGTCTGTTGGCTCTTACAGAAACCAAACCAAGTGGCTTAAACATAATCAAGTTTCGAATACAACTAAAGGAGTACTCCACAGCTGGTTGAATGGCTCTGTCATCCTTAACCTATAGCTTCATCTCCAGGTACAAGGCAACTGCTCTGTTAACTAGTGGCAAGCAGAAGCGGGGGAGGGTCTCACAGCATCCCTCCCTTGGGCCATGCCCTGCCCCACCCCCCAGCAACATCCCTGGTGACTGGTGGGATATGACCCACCTCGGGCATCAAGGGGGGCTGGGAAGTGGTTTCCAGAAACCACTAAACTCGGGAGCTCCGATAGGAGGACCACTTTCTGGGCAATTAGTAGTCTCAGCTAGAAATGGGTATCGTGCTGTGCAAATAAGAGAATGAAGGGTCCTTTTTGCCAGGAAAGGGTAGGTCATGAAAGGTCTATTAGTGAAGGGAATGTTGATCCTCCTTGAAAGACCGGGCTGCCGGGATGAGGTCAGCAGGAGGAGCATGCAGATTGCAGAAGCCATCTGAACAAAGGAGACCCCACCAAAAGGACTGGCTAAGGCAACTTCAAAGCCGGTTCGTCGCTCACAGCTGGGGCAGTGCTACTGCCACCTAGTGGGTGGGGCCAGAAGTGCCCCCAAATTCCTAGGACCACAGGTCAGGCTCTGCGACAAAAAATTCCCAGACCCCCAAATGTGAATAGTGCCAAGGTAGACCTAGAAAGATAGTCGGGGGTGGATTAATAATGTCTTATTGGAATAACAGAGCATGATGGGGATACAGAAAGTAGGCAAGGCCCTGTCCCTGGTGGGGTTCAGACAGACTCCTTGATAACAGAAGCGGGGGCAAGATAGATGGCTTCTCTAGCAGATTCTTAGGCTATTTCTGTGTTCAAAGCAAATGCTCTAGTTCTCTGAATATCTTAACTGGTGAAAGAGAGGAGTCTGGGGGACTTACAGCATCTCTCAGGCCATGACCCAGAAGTAGGATCCCTTGTGATTAATAGTGAGACCCAACTAATGGTGGCTTAAAACCAAGCTATTTCTGTCTTACGACAGTCCAAGTTAGGTATGGTAGACAGCCCCATGGTTTCGGGGACTCGGGCTCTTAGGTGGTTGCTTTAACATCCCAAGTGTGTAGCCCATGTTGGCATGGTCTAAGCTGGCTGACACCCCCCCCCCCCCCCCGCCACACACACACACCCATTTAAGGTATATATTAGAAGTTACCTGTCACTTGGGTTCATTCCTGTTGGGCCAGAACGTAGTCACATGGGTCACTCCAGGCTGTGGAAATGAAGGCTGGGAGAAAAGTCTTGACTCTGGCCACGTGCCCAGCTTATAGAGAAAAGTTCTACTTACAAGAAAACGGACGTGTGGGCTGAAGGGCGTCCCTGACCAAGCTGTGAGAGGCGGGGAGGGTGCTATGTGCAGGTGATCTTTTAAGGCTTAGGCTGGAGCTTTGCCTAATGGATTCAACAGTGGTTCTCAAAACACTGTTGTGATCTTTTTATATCTAAGAATTGAAGCTTTCCCCCACCCCAAGTTTGTTTTTATAGTTACTGCACTAAAAATTAAAACCAAACTTTAAAATATTTATCCACTTAAAAGTAAGCCAGGGTGGCCGGCTGGCTTGGGTGGTAGAGCGTGCAACTCTTAATCTCAGGATTGTGAGTTTGAGCCCCACACTGGGTGGAGAGATTACTTAAAATTAAAAAAAAAAAAAAAAAAAAAAAACCTGTAAGCTCCTTATACTGACACTTTTATGAGCAATAACTTTTCCCCCAAAAATGTGACCAGTGGTATTATCTATACCCTCGTAAATCTCAAGTCAGCTGGATTCTCGCACCTGCATATAGTCCGTTGCCGTGTTTTGAAGTGTCTGAAGAAAATCTGGTGCCTCATGTGGTTGGAAATGGAATATTTTGTTGATAGCCTTTTCCGATAATCTTTAATATTCTACCAAAACACATCAGAGGGAAGTTTCTTTAACTGTTTTAAAGATTTAGAGAAAGAGCGTGCAAGTGGGGGGAGGGGCAAAGGGAGAGAATCTTCAAGCAGACTCCCCAGTGAGTGCAGAGCCGGATGCAGGACTCCTTCCCATGACCCATGAGAGAACAACCTGAGCTGAAACCAAGAATCGGATGCTTCACAAACTGAGCCACCCAGGTACCCCAAGGGTTTCTTAAGGATCAGTTGCTGTATAGAACCTGGAGCCATACCCATAAACTTCTCAAACTGATAAAATCCATTGTTCTATTTACTTTTTGAATGTCTTACTCATGCTTGATTTTTTTTTTTAAACACCTATCCTGCATTGGCTACTTGGAAAATACTGATTTATCGCCTTTCATAATCCTTCTAAACACTGACCCATTTTATAATAGAAAAAAAAATCACTTGTTAATATTCCCAATCTCATCAGAAAAAATCTAAGAACCAGGAAGCTGCATGCCCAGGGTAGGGGATAGATGTTCCGAAATCCTAACTTTGAGGTTAGAGCTGGGATGTTACCACTGCAGCATTGTTGATTATCTTTCTTGAAATGACAGGCTCACGTAGTTCATTCTGAAGAACCTATTCGTCAAATCCCAAATTTGAAAAAACCACAGTGGGTCTGTTCTTTCGAGTGAAACTGACGTCTGCACCTCACAATGCAGCCCCCTCCTACCCCCCAGCAAGAGCCTGTTCTCAAGACCGTGTACTTTGGTCTGCATACTTCCCGTTTCATTACACGGTGTTTAAAAAGTTGTCAGCAAGGAGAGATTTAATATAATAGGTTTTGCTGCTGGGAAGGCTATTCCTAAGTGAAACTGGCACTGGGTTCCTGGGAGGGCACGGCTGGGAGGAATCACCTTCCGGCGGGAGGGGGATGGGGGGGCGGTGGCTGGCAATCCGTGCTCAGGCACCTGCAGTTCTGCCCAGGTGCTCCCACAGCAGAGTGAAGGTCAACCATGAAAAAGGAAAAGTTCTATCTTCGTAGTAGGATGAAGATACTTCTGGCTGCAGACTCGACTGGAAGAGACTCGGGGACCCCCAGGCACTGCACTCTGAGAACCGTGGAGGTGGAGTTTGACAGGACAGGCTAATGCAGGGGAGGGAGGCGCGGCGGACATAGCGGCTCAGAGAAGGGCCTCTGTGCCGGGAATGGGGGCTTGCTGCAGGCTTATCCGCGGGAGAGTGAACTAGAAAGCTGGGTGTGCTCACATTAGAGACCTCCTGGAGAACAAGGCCTTGATTTTGGGGTTTATTAACTTCATTCTAAAGTTACATTTCCTCTTTATACCCCAAATGCCAGTTTATCCTGGATAAAAATTTTTAATCAGAAATAATAGTTGAATTGTAAATGTTTTAAGATGCTCATGTAGCATTTAGCTTAGTAAAGGAGATTGACTTACAATATTTCTATTTTTTTATCCTATTTTAGTACTGGAATCAGGGTTAATTGGTCATGAAATGAGTGGGGGCATTTTTTCTTTCCCTGTGCTATAAACAGTGGAAACACTGTTTCTGGAAGACTTAATAGAACATGCCCACGATGCTCTCCGCTTCTGACTTTCTCAGTGGATGGAGAGAGTGTAGATTAGGTTGTGAGGACAGTGTCCATCTCCAGGACAAATGAAGACCGCTCAGTCCCTCCCAGTGTCCCCCAGAGTCAGTCACCCCTCTGCGCCTTGTGCTGTCTGTCTGGGAACCGGCCCGTGGAGCGGCCTGGCCTCTGTCTGGAACATGCCAGATAAAGGCAGTCGTGACCTTTTTTTTTTTTTCCCTGCCATGGACACCTGGCAATTTTGTGAAGCTTATGGACCCTTCCCAGAAGGTTTTTAAATTAAATTTCAGTATTTCTGTACCTGTTTGATCAGTGTTAAACGTGTGGTATTTTAATACATAGCCCCCCCCCCCCTTAAGTGTGGTAAAGACCGGTGTGTCAGCCTCAGCTGGGAGCTTGTTAGAAACCCTGAATCTCCGGACCAACCTGGGCACGCTGACACAAACTACATTTTACTCTGTAAGTTTAACTTGAGAAATGGGAAATGTTGGTTAAAGGGTACCAACTTCCAGTTCGAAGATGGAGTTCTAGGAAGCTAATGTACAGCGTGGCGACTGTTCAGTTAGCAACTCTTAATATATTGAGTAGACTTTAAATGGTCTCACCACAAAGAAACGGTAATTTTCTGAGGTGAAGGTGTTAACCTTAGGGTGGTAATCCTTTTTCAATATACACTTAAATCATCACACTGTATACCTTAATGTCATGTCAATTACGTCCCAAAGCTTGGGGGGAAACCCATTTTAATGAGCCCCTCCTCAGCCCCCAGATGATTAGTATGTGCAGGAACACTAAGAAAACCTTGAGTTTGTTAACAGACCAGCTACCAGATCCTCCTCTTAATTGTGAAGTAGTGATGAGCATAAATAATCCTTCAGAAATGCAACAAGCATAATATGGTATGAGCATGGCTCCTGTCTGTTGACCAGGGTCTCTGGTACCATTATTGGGTTTGTTGATTGCATAATGGGTAGAAATGCTAAATTCCAGTTACAGGTAGTAGAAATAAAAATGTAGTAGTTTCTCATACGAGGTCTTGGACCTCCTAAATCTTATCCACAAGCCCTATTTTAACCCCCTGATCTGGCGGAGGCTGGTGCTTGGGTGGCTCAGTCGGTTAAGCATCTGCCTTTGGCTCAGGTCATGATCGTAGGGTTCTGGGATCGGGCCAGCATGAGGGATCCTGCTCATCCAGGAGCCTGCTTCTCCCTCTGCCCTTCTCCCCCACCCACCCCCCCACCCCCCCACCCCCCCACCCCCCATGCTCACACAGTCTCAAAATCTTCTATAAAAAAAGGGTGGGTGTGCCTGGGTGGTTCAACTGGTTAAGTGTCTGCCTTGGGCTCAGGTCATGATCCTAGGATCCTGAGATCAAACCCCACATCGGGCTCCCTGCTCAGTGGGAAGCCTGCTTCTCCCTCTCCTGCCTGCCACTCCCCCTGCTTTTGCACCCACCCACACACACACACTGTCAAATAAAAATAAATCTTTAAAAAAAAAAAAACAAAACCCTGATCTGTAACGTTACAGGTCATCTGAGTAAGAGAAACATGTGGTGAACCACCCTGGCTCTTAAAAGCATTTGCCTGAGCGTGATCCCTCCGTTTCGATCCTATCTCTTTGGGCAGAACGAGTCACAGTCCCAAGCCTGTGATCACGAACTAGGAGGCGGAATTCTCCTGGGCAGGGCACCACTAGTGAATAGTCAAACGGTACATAGTTCACCTTGGGGTTCATCTCTGACCTAGCAACTCTGTCATTGATCAGTTTTCTCCTGGTTCAGGCTTTGTAATTTGATATATTCCTAAATCATTATCCGTTTTTATCAAGTCTTAATTTATTAGGGTAAAGTTCTACTTAAGCCATGATGGACTTAATCTGCAGTCCCCTTTCTCTTTTCCAGTGTGTTGGGATGGTTCTCAACCAGGTAGTCTCGCGCCAACCCCCCCTCCCGCCGCCCCCCCAGCCCTGGGGACATTGGACAATCAGAAGACCTTTTTGACCTTAAAACTAGGGATGGAGGTGCTGCTGGCATCTAGTGGGAAGTGGTGAGAGATGCTGCTTAGGACAGCCTACAGCAAAGGATTACTTGGCCAAAAAGGCAGTGATGCTGAGCTTGAAGACCCTGGGGTATTGGTATCTTGAGCAAACCTCCCTTCTTGACCATTTTTGTTTATATGGATTAACTGCTGTATATCTTGATTTCTTCTAGTTCATCGAATTGCATAGTTCACTTCCAGCCGTTCGTTAAAAATGAACTTGTCTACAAACATCCTTCTGAAAACAGGGCTAGGCTATAGGTTTTGACAGAGCTTTCCCTGCCCGTCTCTAGGGAGTTTGTAATTGGATTTTGATTCTTAAAAATTGTTTTAAAATATGCCCTGACTTTTGAAAAACCTTCTGGGAAACCATGTCAGATTCATAAGTTTGAGTCACATCTATTTGGTTTTATCTTTTCAGTATGAATTTTTTTTAGCGGCTTTCACCAAGATTTCTGTTTTGCCCAATATTTGATACTCCTATCTTCTAGCATTTTCCTAAAATACTTATGTACCTTAGGAGCATTAAGCTGATTTTTAAAATGTGTTAAAACTTTTAACAGGGAAACTTAACCTGTTTTTACTTCTATGTAGTTTGACTTGTGTTTTTTTGCCTTTTTGTATGGTTCTCTTGTGGTTTGGAAGCAATACTTTCCATTTTATTAGAATCCACATCTTATCCACTTCCTTTTTTCTTAGGTACACAGTTCAAGTGTGATACTCTGAGTCATCATCTGGCCTTATTTTCTCTTCCTACTGAATGCTAGTTCAAGTATAGGACTCTATTTAAATAATTTCCATAGAACTTTGCAGACACTGCTCCCATTGTCTGAGGAGTTACATGCTGATCTGAGCATTTCTTTCTGAAAGCTGTAAGAGCTCCTTGGGCTTCTGAAACTATCACCCTGCGTCCAGATAAGCCATCTTAAGACCTGGGACTGTCGTTAGTGTTGAGAAATAACTATTTGTTTCGTCCTGGACCATCTAGAACTGGCTTTCATGTCTTGCACTTTCCCTCTTGTCCTTTCGGGCAGCCTTCTGGGAGATTCTGGAGCTCCATCTTCGAAGTGCTTTTTTTAACATCTTTTCCACTCATGAACTTGGAGTCTTGAGAGACCTAGGAGAATCGGAATTATTACGGAAATGAAAACTATTTGCTCTTAGAACCTCAACTTCTTGAGTTGGGTGTGTCTTCCTGGGTTCTGGCTTTCCCCGAAGCATTTGGTTATTGGGTAGATTTTTTTATTTGTAAATGATCAGTCTGGAGTGGTTGTAGGGGAGGGATGGAACACTGGAGGAAACGCTCTGGCCATGGGGTCTTGTTCTCCAGATTATTTCTAACTACTTGAGGCCTTTGCACTGTTTCTGTGGTGTAAGCGCCCTCATTTTCTAACAGCCTGGGGTAGACACCATTGCTGCTATGGTTTGGCACAAGTGAAGGAGGAGGCCAGCAGACCATTCAGTATGAGCCATGAAAGCTGTTCCAAGGTCCCTACACCTGATCTTGAATACTTCTATGACCACTCCCCTTTTCCCCAAACAGAGTTTGGTCTATGATTTTTCTCCTTCAACCTGATCTTGCCTGTTCCTTAGGGTTCTTTAAAACTTGTGAGCCATCCACGCCTAGCACACCTTCTCGTTTCCCAGCATGCTGAACTACGTACTTCAGCGTCTTCCTGTCTGAGCGCTGGGACAGAAGGAAGAGGCAGACCCCTAGGCCCAGGCTACCGTCTTGGTGAGATCTCTCTGCGGTCACCTTAATAGAGAAACCCTTAAACCCTCAAATCTTCCTTATGTGTTTGAAGGAGACAAACCCCACAAGTGTGAGTTCTGCGACAAGTGCTTCAGCCGGAAGGACAACCTGACCATGCACATGCGCTGCCACACCAGCGTAAAGCCCCACAAGTGTCACCTCTGTGACTACGCCGCCGTGGACAGCAGCAGCCTCAAGAAGCACCTGCGGATCCACTCGGACGAGCGGCCCTACAAGTGTCAGCTCTGCCCGTACGCCAGCCGCAACTCGAGCCAGCTCACCGTCCACCTGCGGTCCCACACAGGTAGGTCCCTGGCCCAGAGACCTGTGCCTTACCTGTTGTCCAGTTTCTTAACCTTCACCTCGCCAAAACACAAGCAACCAAGAGGACTTGGTGGTCAAAAGTAAAGGAATTGGAATCTCTGTGGTTTTTCACTTGGATGGCAATTTTCAGTAAAACGTGGAAGTCTGACAGCTGGGTTTTTTCCAACTCCATTACATAGGCCACAGCTGGGGATGAGTACCCACTACAGCAGGGAAGCAAGGGATGTCTCTCAAAAGTCTGGCGTATAAACTAGGTGTTTCAGTCATTTCACATAAACTGATCGCATGGCTGAATTCAGATGCGTTGCAAAATTAGTTGACTAGAACTGCAAATCACAGACTTCTAGTGCTGGAAATTAGACTTGGCAAAGAGCTTTATCTTCCCTTTGTGAGACCCCATTGAATAACAATAGATAGAATCAACCAGTTCATCATGGCACAGAAAAGTGGGGATTGGGAGGCTCATAAGAAGGCCTCAGAAAATGAGGCTTTTCAATGAATTCATGGAAGATGGCGAGCAGATAGAATATGCTGACATCTGAAACTAAGTTTAAAAAAAAAAAACAAAACTCGTCCAGCAGACAAATGGCTCCCAACTCTATGGCTGCCTCCCAGTCTTTCTAACCAATGTTTTACTGCCCTGAGAGCTCTGGACTTGGAACTGGCATGTAGACTGCCAAGGCCACAGAGTCAGAGGAGAAGCTAAAGCCTATTGGCAACATGGTCCATACTGCCCAGTAGCAGGTAAAACCAATGACCACCTATATCTAATCCTTAAACCAATCTGTTCTTCCTAAACTAAATGTCAACTATGGATTATGAATCATTGGCAAGAGATGAGTGATCTAAAATGCCCCAAATCTAACAAATCCTGGAGTTAACAGAGTACCTGGGTCACAGACAAGAATTCTTCAATTCTAATTGGTATCTACCCACTAGCAGAAATGTTGCATCCAAGAAGAGTTCTATGAAAATGTAGTGAGAACAAAGTAAGAATTAAAACTGGAATTGTTGACTACAAAGGCAAAGAAATTTCCCAGACATTAGAAGAAAGAAAAAAAAACTGATTTGGATAACTGAGAAAGAATAAGAAATTGGAAGTTTGGTTACTGACTAGGTCTAGGAAAAAAAAAAATAGAAGTGAGAAAATCAAATGAGAAAGAATTTCCCAATTCTAAGGAGCCATGAGAGTGGAAAGGATTCACAAGATGCCAAGCAGTACAGAGTGGATGGGCAGAGTCAAACCTAGAAAAACTTCTCAGTAGTATTAGCTTCTAGGGGGATAGTGGAATAATGCCCTCAAAGTTGGGAAGTGATTTTGAATGAAGAATTCTATACCCAGCTAAACTATCTGAAGTATACAGGTAGAAAGTAGACAAAATTAGGCAAGAAATCAAACTATCAGCCATCATGCTAGTGGAAGTTACTGGAAGATAAAGTCTTCTCCAGGGAGAAAACAAAATTTGGCATATTTGATGTATATTTGAATATAGCAAACAGAGGTTGCAGTAAAGGGAAGTATCAGGATGATTCCTATGTTGAAGGTTTAAAAGAAAATTCAGTAAATCAGAAACTCAAAATCCACAAGAAATTTTATCTAAAATATTCCATAATTAAAGGACTGGGTTACTTTTGAGATTATGGCAAGATTCTTTTTTCCTGAATGCATAGCCCAGTCAAGAATTAAGCTAAACTGTGACCCAAAATGAGCATGTAAGAAAAGAGAATCAGTGTGACCTTAATGCTAACAACATTATCCAATGGCCCAGATGTGACAGTGACCCTCTAAGGAGGTGGGCGGAATTCCGGTGCAGTATTTGGCCCCGGTGAATGACATATACCCAGTCATAAATTACAGTTTGATTCGAACACTGAAAACAACTAGTTAAAGCATGGGAATTCACTGGCCAGAATGCGAATGTTCTTGAACTTAAATGTGAAAATCCTGACAAGTAGGAAGAGGTAGTATGGTGAAGACAAGGGAATCCTCAAGAAACCTCTCAAGCTGATGGACTAAAAGTTAGGATGCTATTACCCAATGTAGAAGATAATGCCAGAGGGGTAAAATACACACCCAACAATGGAGGAGAGGCTGGGGGGTGGGTAAGGTGAACGTGTAGGGTAAGTGAGATCCTCATCTCTGCTTATGTTCAACTGATGATAATCGTTAAAGTAGCAACCTCCAGAAGCACTAAAAATCCTTAGCAGTGCCTCCAGAGTACAAAGGAGGCTATGGATTTTCAGGAATTTGTCCCCTGCTGCCATATTCCTGTATTAATTTTATAAATAAAATTTAGTCTCGTTGTGTAACTATGAGACTTTAGTAATACAAGCCAATCGATCGATGTAATACAGCTGAAACATTAGAGTCCACAATAAGTCCTAGTTTGATTTGGCACAGATGTAACATAAATTGCACCTCTCCCATGCCCAGTTTTGGGGTGTTAGATTAAATGAGAGCTAGATTGGAAAGTAAAGTGGCCTCATGAAGAGTGTGGACTTGGACGCCCTGGTGCCTGAGTTCAAATCCCTGCTATTTGACCTCGAAGCCTCCATTATCCCATCTGTTCAATGGGGGCAATAGTACCCACTCATAAGATTGTTGTGAGGATAAAAGAAGTTAAGGCACATGGTAAGTGGCCGGGTCAGGGAGTTACCCGTCGTTGGAGTTCAAAGACCCAACTCTCTCTGCACCACGTGTTCTGACGCATGTTGGGGGGGGTTAGGTAGGGGGGAGTTCTTTTGCCTGCTTGCTCTAATGGAAACACACCTTCCGTTGCTAGGGGACACCCCCTTCCAGTGCTGGCTCTGTAGCGCCAAGTTCAAAATCAGCTCGGACTTGAAAAGGCACATGATCGTGCACTCGGGGGAGAAGCCTTTCAAGTGCGAGTTCTGTGACGTCCGCTGCACGATGAAGGCGAACCTCAAGTCGCACATCCGCATCAAGCACACGTTCAAGTGCCTGCACTGCTCCTTCCAGGGCCGGGACCGGGCCGACCTCCTGGAGCACAGCCGGCTGCACCAGGCCGACCACCCCGAGAAGTGTCCCGAGTGCAGCTACTCGTGCTCCAGCACTGCGGCCCTGCGCGTGCACAGCCGAGTGCACTGCACCGACCGCCCGTTCAAGTGTGACTTCTGCAGCTTCGACACCAAGCGGCCCAGCAGCCTGGCCAAGCACATTGACAAGGTGCACAGGGACGAGGCCAAAACGGAGAACCAGGCCCCGCCCGGCAAGGAAGGGCCCCGAGGGAGCAGCTCCCAGCACGTGGCCAAAATCGTGACCCAGCGGGCCTTCCGCTGCGAGACCTGCGGTGCCTCCTTCGTCAGGGACGACTCTCTGAGATGCCACAAGAAGCAGCACAACGGCCAGAGCGAGAGCAAGAACTCAGACTTGGTCACCTTCCCGCCCGAAAGCGGTGCCCCGGGGCAGCTGGGCACCCTCTAGTTGAGCCGCAGACGGTGGTCGGCTGTCCGAACGCCAGACAGATGCTGCGGTCCCGCCCTCCGAGTGGAGGCCGCCAAGCCAGACTTGTCACCAGCTCCGGGGACGGATGCTCCAACTTTATAGGCCCTCAAGGTCATGGCCGCGGGTCACTGGCGTGAGAACCGACGCCAAAGCAACAGCGTGGAGACGCCCCTCCACGTTGCTGTCTTTCCTCCAAACATCGGCTCCGCAAGTCGACCCAGTCGTTCCAAGGTTGGGGGGGGGGGGGGGGTCCACTGCGCACCGCTCTATCCCACCGGGATAGCTTCGTGATGGATTCCGATCCTAAAACTGATCCACCTCCAATGGAATTATGAAACTGTTCAGACCACGTGGAGAACTAAACTGATGTGTATAGTGGGGGAGGCTAAGATGGCAGCGGGGGTGCGTTACGTGGAGGACCTGGGCATCTGGGAAAGTTCTATTTCTTAACCTGGGTGGTGGTGATGAGTGTTTGCCTTATGCATTCGTGTGGTTCCTTTTATCATTGTCTTATAATAAAAAGGCAGACTCAGCTGTAGAATGACGTAAGAGGGACGCTCCGTTTTTCTTTACGTTCTTCCATTAGACTGGTTAGGGTGTGGGGTTCTCCATCCCCACCCCGTTCAGTAACGCGTTCGGGGCGCACCCAGATTTCTCGAGGTATTAATGCCGCAGTGACGTGAACTGCAGCTTGACCTGTAGGTGGCGCCAGAGATCAAGCTAACACTGGCTGAGCCCGCACGTGTGCATTGTGAAAGGGCATTTACATACTTCTTAGAGAAAAGACTTGGGCCCCGGGCTTGGTTCTGGGACATGTGATGCATGCGGCAGGCGGAGCTTAGGGTCTTTCATCCCAATAAGCACTTGGTGTTCGCCGAACCAACAAATGAAAATCCAAACTAATTGTAGATGGACATTTTACTTTGGCCAAATCTTAGGAGGCTCTGGAATGCCATGGATCTATAACTTATCCAGAGTTGTTTCGTTGTTTGGCATCTTCAAGTACAGTTTTTGTTTAATACAAATTCTTATGTGCCCTCATCAAGTTAAACATGGGTGCTTTTAAAACCAATTAAATAGATCCATCGTTTTTGGTAAACTGGGAGAAAAAGGACGTGAAGACTTTTATAGATTATACACAAGGGAATAAATAGTTCACTTATGGAAGGTATGTAGCTTATTTCATTATGAATTCTGTTTGAACATACCTGATTTAAGTGTGGCAGCAGGTGAATGATGATACACTGTTGGATCTCTTTGCTGTAAGGAGAAAATGATGTCTGAGACCCATGATAGAATTAATCTTTGCTTGCTTTGGATTGCTTTGCTTTTCGATTGTCCAGGAGAGTGTCTGGTGACTGAATGCCCATGCATTGTACAGATTCTGTTGTCACCTCTGTTTGTCATGAGTCTTATCTGTGTTTCTGTTCTAGTAGCAAGAGGGCTGTTGACCTTTCAAGTGGGAACCCGTAGATCGAAATCATATAAACGTTCCTTGAACTTTTCGTATCACAGCTCTTCAGATAAACAGGAAAGCCTTTTTAAAAGGTATTTTTTTTTCCCCAGTTGTATGGACTTCAGGGGTCTGAGGTCCACCCTGGGTATAACCCGTGAATTTGGATTCCCCATAGAGCAGAGGTTCGCGAAGAGTGCCAGACCACATTGTAAATATTGGAGGCATTGTAGGGCCGTAAGGTCTCTCTTGTGAGGAAACTCTGGCTTTAGCACAAAAGCAGCCATAGGCTATAAGAGAAAGAATGAACGTGTCTGTGTTCCAATAAAACTTTATAAAACAATTGAGGAAGTACAAGAGTAAACCCTTCTAGGATGGGACTTCAAATACATAGATAAGGACAGAACTGTTGGAAAGAGCCGTGATGGCTAGGGGGCTGCTGACCTGGTGCAGACCAGAACGGCCAAGTTTCTGTGCCTCTGTTTGAAAGGTCAATATGGGTCTGAAAGGGGAAACTGAGTATGTTTGCGGTCTGACTTCGCCCAGACCAGGAGTTGGTGGACTTTTTCAATCAAGGGCCAGATAGTAAATATTCTGGGCTTTGCTGGCCTTTGTCTATTCAACTCTGTTCATCTCTGCTGTTTTAGCACAATTACTCAACTCTGCCTTTGTCACTAAAGTAGCCGGAAATAATAGGTAAGCGAATGGGCATAGCCGTGTGCCGATAAAACTTTACCAAAAAAGGCCATGATTTGGAAGGCCTAGTTTGCTGACCCCTGAGCTGGACTATTGATGAGTACAAGCAACGGGGTAAATGATCATGGGTTAAAAACATGGGAAAGAGATACTGAGAATGCTAAATGTCCTGGGGTCCCTTCAAGGAGGGGGCCACTTCATGCAACAGATGAGTTCAAGTTTAGGCATTGGGAAAAACAGGGTCCTTCTGATCCTTATTCAGACTGGCTATAAAATCTCCAGGAAAGAGTCCAGAAATCAAGATGACCTCGTGTTCTTTTCTGCTTATGGTTTCTTGCTGCCTTCTAAGCACTATATAGTACATGGATTTTTTTGTCCCATTTAGTTTTTCTTAAAAAGGATGAACCTGGGGCGCCTGGGTGGCTCAGTTGGTTAGGCGACAGCCTTCGGCTCAGGTCATGATCCTGGAGTCCCTGGATCGAGTCCCGCATGGGGCTCCCTGCTCGGCGGGGAGTCTGCTTCTCCCTCTGACCCTCCCCCCTCTCATGTGCTCTCTCTCTCTCATTCTCTCTCTCTCAAATAAATAAATAAAATCTTTAAAAAAAAAAAAAAGATGAACCTGTTTCTGTTGCCATGGCAACATGAGTCCCTACTCTGAGCCAGACATTGTGCTAAGAACTTTATCTGTGTTCACTGATTTCTCCCAGTGCCGTCCAGAGCTGGGACTAGGGCAAGGGAAGGGAGGCCTTTGCCTAGGGCACCAAAAACTCCATAACCAAGAAATACTTGAATTGGCAAACTATGGCCCCCAGGTCAGCCACTTTGTTGTGAAGTAGTATTAGAAGTTGGCCTGGGAATTGAGGCCAGTTATGCAGGGGCAGAATTGGATCCTAGTCTCATGTAAAATTGCATTAAAATATTGACCTTGATCAGTGAGATTTGGGGTACCACTTTCTTTTGGCACCTGAGGGGACTGCCTCACCCACCCCACCCTGATCCCTGCCTCTGGTCCAAATGCAAAAACCAGAAGCATAAAGGTGAAGAAACTTCTAGAACAGACTTAGGTTTCAGCCCCTGGCAGGGTAGCTCCAGAGTCCATGTGAACAAAATGCTAGGCTGGGTCTCAGACAAAAATTTTATTGAAGTAGCAGGTTGAGCAGGGTGATGTGGACAATCCCGAAGAAGCCTTTTGACGTAAGTTAATGGGGTTGAGGCAGGATGTGAGGAAGCCCCAGCCTCTGGCAGTACTATCTGTCCAGCATCCAACCAGAGACTCGGATTCTCTGTTTGCTCCTCTAAATGTGCCACTTCAGGCATTTGGCTTAATGCTAAAATCAACTGGTGTAAAACGAAACTAAGGTTGGCTTACCTGTTTGCCCGTTTCTTGTTTCTTCAGTTGGGGGAGGGGGGAGGCAGATTAGAAAATAACCAAGAACTAGTCCTGTGACCTTCTGATGTTGGGGAACATGGCTTCTGTCTTCTCCCCCACTCTGGATCTTCCACATGTGGTCCAAGATGGTGCCGCCTTAAGCTCCAACCAGGTGGAAAAGGCCATGCCCCTTCCCCTTAACACGGCCAGGAAGTTGTACGTGAACTCTTGCTCACCTCCCCTGGCTACCTGGCTGGTCCTAGGGCATTGCTATGGTGAAGGGAGCTGGGACATGGTGGCTCTGGAGTAGCCTTTGCCAAGTTAAAACCTGGAAAGAGACACTAGGTCATGAGTGTTCTCTGCCCTTGAGCAGCAGTGCAGCCTCCTAAAAGTTGGAGACGACTTTCCTAGGAAACACCTGGCTCAGATCCTGAACACCCGGGGTGTTCTATACATGAACACTTCGCTTTTATCACGGTTTTACTGGGGCTGTCTTTGCCTGCTCTTGATGGATATTGGTCCATGGCATTTGTCCACGGTTTTCTGTCCCTCTAGTCCAGTGAGCTCAACAGTGGCCACAGTCACCTGGGAAGCTCTTAGGTATATGAAACCTATCTTGAGAGACCGCCCTGGGGGGGGGGGGTATTTTCTGGAATTCTGCAGGTGATTCTGATGTGCAACAGGGGGACAGATGCTCCCATTGAAGGAGCAGGGCTGTCCTCATGGACCTGCCACCTTGCTGTCACAAAGGGCCCTACACTTAATTGCGTGCTCTGCTCTTGCCATCCTGAAATTAATTTTTAAACAAAGAGCCCTGTGTTTTCATTTGGCATCAGACCCTGCAAATTATGTAGCTGGTCCTGTGAAGGAAGAAAAAGAATCTGCCTATGAAGGAAACCTGCCTGTGTTGCTGGTCCAGAAGCTGTCGTAACCGTGGTTGGCCAGACAGGGCTCTGCATGGGAGGAACAGGCACGGGGAACCATGGTGTTCAAGCATTCCTCTGCACCATTCCATTCAGACCTCACGAGGAGTGGCATTTGCATTTGTCCTAATAAGGGAACCTATCTTCAGAAAGGTTAATAATACAGCTAGTGCAGGATAGTCAAGCCCAGGTGTACCGGGCTCACATTCCCACATGGTATCTGCAGTCCGGGTCTCCACTCAAGTACGGGGTGTCTTCCCCTGGCAGAGGTGAGGGAATCAGGTGGAACCATTTGAGTTCCAAATGTTAAGGCAGAAAAAGGATAAGCTCTTTCTGCAAGAATGGGGAGGTCTATGGTGGGACTGGGAAAAAAAAAAAAACACTTCAGTTATGGGTAGCAGATGATTGCGGAAGTGTCCCTAGGCTGTCCGACCACATGCTGGGGCAAGTATTGCAGGAACGACCGACATGACTTTCTCCCAACATACACTACATAATTGTAGTGTCTGAAGTCAAGAGTGTTAGGATTTGAACCCGTGTGTGAGGCTTGCCGGTGGAAGTCCTTCTAATACCCAATACTGCCGGCTTGGGAGATCTGCCTTAAGGCCTGAGTTCATTTTTTTGAGGCCTGGACCTCTTTCAGTCCAGTGAAATCTATGACGTCCTTCTGAGTGATGTTTAAAGATTTTATTTATTTGCGGGAGGGGGAGAGAGCAAGCGAGAACACAAGAGCAGGGAGAGGGAGAAGCAGACTCCCTGCTGAGCATGGAGCCTGAAGTGGGGCTCGATCCCAGGACCCTGGGATCATGACCTGAGCCGAAGGCAGACGCTTAACTGACCGAGCCGCCCAGGCCCCCTGAGTGATGTTTAAAAGAAGAAAACAATGCATCTGTTTGCAAGGGAAACAATTATATTGAAATAGTTATCAAAATATTTTTTGAATTATGTACACTTAATAGTGCATTAAATATGTTCTAGCAGCAGATCTAGTAACTCTTACTTTGAAACGGTGATGGTATTTCAAGATAACTAGAGCCTGAAAAGTTATGTATTTCACATGTTCTATGCACATACCTGATTTCCTTTGGCTTGCTCATGCCACTGTGGTTTGGTACCTATATCCAGAATTGACAGAAATGCTCAATTTCAGTTGAAGGCTAGTGCAGGAAGTTCCTCTTCTTTCCTGTCCAAGTCCTTGGACCCTCTAAATTCCATCCATGGTCCCCTTGACCCTATATGAAGACCTTCAGTGCTAATAGAGTTTTGGGGATCTGGTGTCCGTGGCAAAATTTGAATTTGCACTTGCTTACATCATAACACAGATCTAGTAGCACCAACATTTGAAAACTTAACCCCCAGGGCGCCTGGGTGGCGCAGTTGGTTGGACGTCTGACTCTTGGTTTCAATGCAGGTCATGATCTCAGGGTCCTGGGATGAAGCCCCACATCAGGCTCTGCAAGGAGACTGCTTGAGAGTCTCTCTCTCTCTCCCCCTTCTGCTAGTGCTGTCTCTCTCTCTCTCTAAAATAAATCTTAAAAAAAAAAAACTTACCCCAGCACCCCTGCCCAAAACACCTTGCAGTAGGAGGGCTTCACCAAATGAGCTCTTTGTACCATGGTGTACAATCTTTTTCCAATGAGCTGCTCTTTCAGATGGCTCAATCCTCACGTTAGTTTAACGGACTTTGACCCGCAGAAAGCAGACATTGTAGATTTGGCCAACAATCCTGAAGTTCTCAAGCCACTGTCCCCATTCTTATTGTACCATATATTTCTTGAAAATATAAGGTCTGCAAAAGACTGGCTTCAGCCTTTTCGCTAAGGGTAGGCTTTTTGCCCATTGCCGGGCAGGTAACAGGTGAATAACAGCAGTTAATTCTAGTGTTCAGCCTAGTGTCCTTTGCACTTGTTAGTTATAAGAGTCCCGGGAGGGGAATGGTGTTTCATTTGTATTGGTGGTTACTTATGGATTTGAAACAACCTACCTTTGTTTCTTTTAGTTTTGATAAATGATCCCTTTACGGGTAAGAGAAGTTGATTCCCTGTGTAGAGTTCTTTTAAAACCGATATCTCTAGGGGCACCTGGGTGGCTCAGTCGGTTAAGCATCTGCCTTCAGCTCAGGTCATGATCCTGGAGTCCCGGGATCGAGTCCTGCATCAGGCTCCCTGCTCAGCAGGGAGTTTGTTCCCTCTGCCCCTCACCCCCCTCATGCACTCTCTCACTCTGTCTCTCAGATAAATAAAATGTTTAAAAAAATAAATAAAGACATCTCTGGATTTTGAGAAAAACTAGGTACATTTGCCTCTTCAGTTGTCAACCCATCCCCAGTTGAAGAAGACCTTTCTATTACCAGTACCTGAGCGCAGCCATGGTGCAGATGTCCTTGAGAAATGTTTAGCCTTTGAAAGAAAAATCTTTATTCCAGGTACTCATTTCTTTCCTGCCCCTAACCCAGTCTCTAGCCCAGGGGTCAGTAAACTTCTTTGTAAAGCAGGTAATAAATATCTTCAGCTTTGTGGGCCATTCCGTCTCTGTTGCAACAACTCAATTCTGACCTCATAGTGGAAAGGCAGCTGTAGACAATACGTAAAGGAATGCATAGTTGTGTTCCAGTTAATCTTTATGGACAGTGAAATGAGTTTCATGTAATTTTTCACATCACAAAATACTTTTTTTTCCCCAAGCATTTAAAAATCTAAAAACTACTCTTAGCTCATGGATTGTGCAAAACAGGTGGAGGGTTACTATGGGAAAGCCTGAGCAGAGTATACAAGAGATCTCTCTGTTACTTTGTACAACTGCATATGGGCCTACAATTCTCAATAGAAATGGTTTTTGTTTGTTTGTTTTTTATGAAATAACCAGTAGATGGCTGGATTTGGCCCCTGAGCTGTAGTTTACAACCCTTGCCAGTCAGAAACACTTATAAAAATACAGTATTTGATTTTAAACTCTCATTTCTTAGATTGTTTTTGACACAAAAAGCATGCTTGAATATGATTTCTTCTGATGTATCCTGTTCCCAAACATTGCCTTTATATTATAGTTCAAATACAAAAGGCTTTGCCATATAGGGGTCAGTGTAATTAAAGACTCTAGTGTTTCTCAAGCATTTAAGGGATAGATGAAGTGCGTTTATGTTGTCAAGTGTTCACTTCTTTAGGAAAGATGATGTGTCGAGTTTTCTAATTAGGAAAGTCATTTATAAAAAAAAAAGTCTTGGTATTCTTAGGGTCTTGTTTATATTTTAAAATAGTAATACATACACATGATTGGTTGGGGGGGGTACTTTATCAT